GCCGCAGTGGGCTGGGACTAGCTGACCTCTTCTGTTCATTGCTAACGAAACAGTTCATTTCCCAGCATCTACGTACACAGAAAAACATCTGAAAATGACAACAGTGGGGGCAGATTAAGCTCACACAGGACAGACAGTGCCCTGTCTGCCTCTTGTGTTCGCTTGCGTGAAATTACAGTGACGGGGCAGAGATAATGATGCGCTCGCTCACAGGATGCTCGCCAATTCGCATGCCCGGCCTCTATAATTAGATAACCTTTGCTTTGGTCTATGCCACAGAGATTACCCGGGACACAGTCCTTCCAGGCAGGTGTGCCAGCACGCCGGGGAATCTGCAGTTCCAGGCTCCCCATGGTGGCAGGAAAAGGGAGCAGGCTGGCTTTGACTTCCTCAGATGCTGTTCCTCAGCTCATGCCCGTGGAGAAGTGGAACACCAGCCCTTCCTTCCCATCCCATCCCAAACCTGACCCCACCCCCACCATTTACACTCTTCAAAAGGTCACCTTGCTCCCCCAACAAAGTGAAGCAGAGAAATCTGAACACACACCCCCAATCCTAGCCAGTTCTTCAGGCTGTCAGCACCTGTGGATATCGACATCATGACCCCCTCAAAGGTAAAAATGGGGGTCACGGTAACTTCAGCAATTCTCCAAGGAGGGATATGACCAAGGATCTAAGAATTGGGGTATCGCCCCTCCCCACACGACTGAATGGTTGTATACAGAGAGAGGTTGGGGACAATTACGGTAACTTAGCATCCATTAGGAGACCTACTATGAAATACACCCCTGCCTGTTTTGTCCCACACTGAAACCTGTAGGCACCTGCCCCTGCTCTACTTCCCTATATGAGTTAGTCTGGCTCTTGTTTCTGAATAGACTTTGCACAAACCTTTGTAGATAAGCAAGTGTCACATCATAGATGGGTGGTGGGGAGTCCGTGTTGACAACATCTAAACCCATTCTTAAGGAACCACAGCAGACCTCACACCGGCTTTGCTCATTGGTGTGTTTTAGTCACTTGATCCAGACAATAGATGGATGCCATTTAGTTGAGTTGATAGAAAGTTATATTTTACATGGTCTGGATATAGGAAATAGAAATTCTAATTCTAATACAATCCAATGGTTTCTAATCTAGTAAATTCCAATATCAAATACATATACATGTAAATAGTCAGTGTGCAAATACATACACTAATGGTAACACACTATCTAAAACCATGAAATGAATTGTAGGTTTGCTTTTTAAAAGGCAGTTGTGACACGGTCACACAATAGGCCAAGTGTGTTCAGTCATGGTAGAGAACCGCATGGTTTGACTTATTTGAGCAACCCTGGCATTATCAGAATCACAGAAACAGGAAAAAGAGTGTGGTTGCAGGGAGAGGAGAAGGGGAGACAGGGAGTCATTGTACCCCACTAAACACAGAATCTTTCAGATCAAGAACACGTAGAGATGGATGATGGTAATGGTTGTGTTTCAATGTGATTATACTCATGTCACTAAAAGGTACACTTAAAAGTGGCTGCATGGGCTGGAGAGATGACCCAGATGTTAACTGCACCCACTGCTCTTCTAGAGGATCAGGTTTCAATTCCCAGCACCCACAGGGCAGCTCACAACTGTGTATACCTCCGGTTCCAAGAAGATTTGGCACCCCCTGCTGGACTTCATGGGTATTGCACACAAACATATCTGCGAATCAACACCTATACACAGAAAACAGAAACAAATAAATCTCAAAGAAAAATTCTTTTTCCAAAGTGACTGCAGAGTAGGCACCTGGAGAGGTGCCTCATTGGTTAAGGGCCTTAGCTCTCGTCCAGAGGATCCTGGTTCAATTTCCAGCACCACATGGTATAATACAGATCATAGTCACCTGTAACTCCCATCCCGGGGAGTCCCAAAGCCCTCTTCTGGCCTCCGTGGGCACTGAATGAATATGGTGCACAGACACGCAAGCAGGTAAAATATTCATACGCATAAAATAAAAAGTGGTTTCAGGGTTAGTATACAGTCTCAGTGATGAGAAATGATTACTGCCAAGTCTAATGAACAGAGTCCTACTGTGGGTCCACTATAAAGATCTGTCACTCATATTGGCAATATAAAACACTGATTGGCCAGTAGCCAAGCAAGAAATATAGGTGGGACAACCAAACTAGGAGAATTCTGGGAAGACAAAAGGCAGAGACGCAGTCGTAAGCAAGAAGCAGAGGAAGCAAGATGAGAAGGCCTCACTGAGAAAAAGTACCAAGTCACAAGGCTAAACATAGTTAAGAATTATGGGTTAATTTGAGTTGAAGAGTTAGTAAGAAGCCCGAGCAACAGGCCTAACAGTTTATAATTAATATAAGCCTCTGTGTGTTTATTTGGGACTGAATGGCTATAGGATCGTATGGGGCAGAAACTTCCATCTACAGAGTCCAATCCCCAGGACCCACCTGACCCCCTTGAGTTGTCCTCTGATTTCTGGATGTATGGTTGCAAACCCTGCCCCGCCCCACAAAAAATATAGATGAAAAAATAATAGTACTTACAATGATAATGTTTATGGTTTGAAAGAGGAACACTTTTAAAATGTTGTCACATTGGTGACATAGTAACTGTTATTGCTTTTCTTTGGGGCAAAACGCTGATTTCTTGATGTGGTTTATTCATATAAAATAAATATATTCTGGTAAATTATTTGAAATCAAAGAAACTGTTTTGAGAGGTGTACGTTATTATGCAAATAATCAAGGAAATGCTTTCTTGTCCTATGATTCCCAAGAACGCAAAAGTTTAGCATTTGGCTATACATATTTATAGGCTTTAGTCAACAGTGGCCTATAACTCAGCAATGTATTGAAACAATTTAGAATGGATTTGGGGGATTTTCCTGTAACATCCTAGCTAGAGAGGAGAGAGTGAAGGACAGTAGGCAGCCGGGCTCCCCTAATTCTGTCATGTGTATCAGCTGACCCAGGTAAATCACAAACGTTTGTGTGGACCACTGAGGGGGAGGCAGGGCAAGTCAGTTTAATTTTAAGCAATGATGGAAACCAGGTCACTTTAGCTCCTATTCCTGAGAGTTGGCTGGGATTTGTCTGCTGAGCTGAGAAAGAACGCGAATGAAATCTGGAGGGAAGGCTTACTGTCTCAACTAAGACAAACGGAAAATGTTCCGTAGAGAGAGATGACCAGAGTGGTGAAGGAGTCGAAGACGCCAGAGGCAAAAGAACGCATCTTAGCACAGACTGGAGAACAGGAACAATTGAACACCAGACAGCTAGACCCCATGTGGATGGCTGTGGTCACTTTCCTGGACAGCGACCATGCAGTGAGTTAGGGGAGTGCTGACAGCTCATAGGGACAGACAGACATACCCACAGTCATGCAGCCAAATAGGAGATTCTGTGCTGGGTGCTATTGGGGCTCCCCAAGCCCTGAAGGGCAGCACTGAGCGTTGAACGCTCAATCACATCCCTTCCCTTACCCTGATTCCCTTAATCAGAAAGTTAACTCTTGAAGAACCCCAGACGCTACCCAGCTCTACCCCTTGATCATGGATGAGACCCCAAGGTCTAAGGGACATGGCTGTGTCCAGGTAGAGTAGCAGAGTCAGTGGCACACAAGTCTCTTGGTATCGAACATCTTCTTGGTAAAAAGTCTCACGTGGTCCAGTAGCCGTGCGTTGTTCTCTAATTCTTGCCACGTGGTCTCATTTAGCTAATTTACCACTCTAGGCTGCAGACTGAATTATAGCTGTTGGTTTCCTTTCCCCGGTTGCAAGCCAAAGGAAAGCAGGCATCATTAATTCCGTGCTTTTCTCCAAACAGCATGCTAACAAGCCTTTAGCTGGAGCTCCGGCCACGGAGCTTCGCCGCGGAGGTGAGAAGGTCTCTGGTCCATATGGTCTAGATGCTTGTAGGTTTTCATTTCAAACGCTAAGGTTGACAGATCTGCTAGGAGCAAATGGGGTATTAGTTAATATCTAATTGCTCCTAACACAAGTCACAGTCCATTTAACCGAGGCAGACGCCAGTCTTTGCCTCCACAAGACACATTTAGGACAGTTTACTCTTTCTCTGCCATTTAGCCTTGTCTCTTATCTTTGTAGTAGGTTCACAACTCGGTGTGAATGTAGCCTCTTCTTTCCAGGCTCCAGCTTAGCCTCCACCATCTCTTGCTTTATTGTTATTTAATATGCTAATAGACGCTAGGGTACCCGTGTGCAAAACAAAGAGACGATCCCAGCTGCGGCTTCACGTCTCTGAAAGCAGCACCCATGGTAAATGGAATAACAGTAAAACCTGGGCTAGTTTTATTGGGGGGAGGGGGAGTCTCCTTGCTTGGTGAAGTGCCAGACAAGAGAATTTTCACGTGTGTGTGTGGGGGCGGGGTGGGGGGGTGAGGTGGTGAGGTGGTCATCTTGCTGGACAGGTGCCAAACTAAAATTACCACGTACTCCAGTTTTCTGCTTGAAATCTGAGCCCCGACAGCTTGCCTCACTCCACGGATGTCAGGTTTACCTGACTACATGACAGAGGAAGGTTAGAGGAGTCCCAAAGATCTCTTTGTAGTCCCCTTTGCTCAGGGATGGAGCAGTACCCACGATGCAGGTCCATGAGCACAGACATCCAACAGGATTGCCCAACGACCTGCTGTGACCACTGCAGGGAGGGGACTGATCTGAAAACACTTGGTGCACGCCTGTGTACCACTTCAGGGCAGGGATGATGGAGGCTAGAGGATGGTCTCAGGGGTCTGCTCCACCACTCTGCCTCATGCCCTCGAAGGCAGGGAGGGGCTCTCTCTGGACCTGGAGCAATGCTGTCTGTGCCCTTCCATACCTCGGCACTTAGAGGCCAGCTGCAGGCACCTCCATGGGCACAGGGAAAAGGCAGAGTGCAGCTGGACTCTAGAACTCCTCCCAACGAGGCGGCATATGTAGAAGCCAGCACTTTAGTAAGGTGACTTTTAGTTTAAAAAAAAAAATGACAAAAAAAGGAACAAAGAATTAGAAGAATTTTAATAAAATCAACAAGTTTACATTTGTACATCGTGTGGAGTTGGGACCCATTAGGAGGCAAAGGAAGCTGTGAGGACAGAGGTTCCTACGGGAGAGCAAGCAGAAAGCAAGGACTGCCCAGTTGTGTAACAGGTGCCGTGTGACAGCGGGACCCAGTGCCTGCTTCTCTGTGCTCCGGGAGCATCCAGCACGGCTCAGGAAGCCCCTCTCTGCTCTGTTCTCACACCCGGTGCCCATAGCGTAGGTGGCACCTGGCAGGCAACAGCAGATAAACGGTTCCCCCAACGAAACAGTCCCACCCGCAGATACAAAGGTGAACCCATCTCAGCCCATGCTGCTCCAAACAGGACGGCTGCGGAGCCTAAAGGGAGGGACAAGCCTGAATCCAGCGGTCACTGCACCACTCAGTGGACAGTCACGGGCTGTGATAGGACCATGGGTTCATCTTTAAAAAGGGGGTTGAGAAGTGGCCCTCGGGAGAGTGAGGACGGTGAGGGAACGGGACTTGTAACAGATGAGGTGATTCTCCGCCTTGTAGAACTGTTTACGGTAAAGGGTTGGGAGGGGGTTGGACTGCTCGACTTTGTCAATCAACACTCAGAGGAGAGGCTAGTGTTTCCAGGTTAGGAGTGAGCAGACACAGCCCCTTCCGAGATCTGACCCGGTTTGGGAAGGGAGAACAGTGCTTTCAGGTTAGACACTGCTCATGGGGTAACTCGTGCTTTGAGAACTGTAATGCCAATTCGTTGCGTATAATGACAAGCAGTGAGAAGTGTCCTCAGTCATCCTTGGGACACTGGAGCTGCAAGGAGACTTCATTTATTCTCAGAGACACTGGACACCCGCAGGGAAAGGGGTACAGTGACAGACGCTTTTACTTCCCGGCTTGCTCAGAACCCCAAAAGGAAAAGAAATACAGTGATCATTGTAAGTACAGGAGCATTCTGTAAAGAGTGGACAGTGAGGGGAGCTCAGGCAGGTGGAGGGACGGTGTGTTCTGGGCCATCCCGTCAGCCCAGGAGATGCTCTTTTTCAGGTATCATAGTGGAGGCTGTGCTGTCTACCCTGAGGTCCTCATAAAGCCAGCCTCCTGGGGTGACCGGGTGACTTGGAAGAGGGCAGTGAAATGGCAAGAGCAGAAACCCCAAGTCCAGCTGGTCACGGAGGAGACCCTTCCTCTGCGGGTTCCGGAAAGCTCAGGCAGGCATAGAAAGTGCTGGCAGATTATGTGGCCTGGCCAGACTGCCTCCTGGGGTCCTGCAGAAACGCCTGTGGGGAAAACAAGGCGAGCCTCCCCCCCCCCCCCCCCCCCCCCCCCCGCTACAGGGCGGAGGCCAATGCCAGCCCCTCCCGAAGGCTCACCGGCCACTCAGCACATTTCCCTTTGAGTTTCCCAAGTATTCAGTAGGAGGTACATTTTAACGAGGAAAGAGATCTCTGTAACGAAAACAGCTGCAGAAATTCCAAGTGAGAGAAAACGACAAAGATGATATGAATTCAAATAAAAATATTTAGTTGCGGATCTCCATCAAGGTGTTTCCAATCAAGTGGATGGAAACGAACCTGTATCTGGGCCATCACACAACCTGGGCCCCCTTAGTTGCAATCTTCAGGATGGGCAAAGCAGCTTCCCACTCCGACCTCTTTTTCTTTTTTTCTCTTCTATCGTGTGTGTGTGTGTAGGCAGGACACCCTGTGGGAGTTGATTCTCTCCTTCCATATGTAAGATCTGAGAACTGAATTCAGGTTGTCAGGCTTGGTGGCCAGTGCCTTTGCCCACTGAGTCACTTTACTATCCTGCCTGCTTCAAGCTTAGGTTCCTGAATCGATCTCCATGTGATAGACAGTCAGAGCTAGGCCTTTACACCGAGTGAGTGCTTCCATGACAGGGCAATGGCTTCCCGAGGCTGACAGCAGGACGGGAAGAACAGACACTGTGTCCGCGTTAGCAGCAGATGCGGAGCCCATGTCAAGAGCGCACCTCCCCAGAAGGCAAGGCGCCCACCTCAGGGCCTCTGCACCCTGGATGCTGGCCTGAGCCAGGTGGAGCTGAGCTCCTTCCCTGGCCCCACCTGTGTCGGGATTGCCCTGGCTCCACCGCCTGCTTTTCAAGGTTGGCTTGTGCTTTGAAGGACTGTCACCTCCTGGACGGGGAGCCTCTGGCCTGTCGCTAGTCTCGAGGTGTCAGGCCTTTTCCTTTTACATTCACACGAGGAACAATCAGTGCTGCGGTGCCCTCATTTCCCAGGGCTGGCAGTTCCCTGGCACCCAGATGCCTTCCCTTTGTTCTGGCTGGCACAAAGCAGGTTTGGAAAAGAACCCAGAATCCCCTTTGCAGCCTGGAGCCATGCTTTTTCAAGTCCGAGTGCCAGGGCTGGGTGAGCTGGGGGTCGTGTGTCTGCTGGCAGCACAGTGGGTGTGCACGAGCCCTCCATTTGGGTATCTGACAAACACAGGCTCGCCAAAAGGGTTCTGGCAGAGTTCGCAGAGCTTCTTGTCTGAGAGCCAGACTGCGCTTCCCTTCAGCTTCACCTGCAAACAGAAAGCAATCGTGAGGAAGCTGTTGAGTCGGAACGGGCGGACGGACGCACAGTCTGCAGCGGACGACGACTGCCCACAGGATTGCGGCCATCAACCTCTGGACATGGGACCTAAGCAGTGGAAATGAGCTATTCTTAATGAGCAAGCAGAGAGAGCAGCAGAGCTGCCTTCCTTTTATTCTTCGAGACTTGTTTATTCCTTTTCCCAGGTGTGTGTGTGTGTGCCTGCATGGGTTTCCATGCATCACATGCCTGCAGAAGCCAGAAAAGGTCATCAGAGTCCCGGGACTGGAGCTGTGAGCAGTTATGTGGGTGCTGGGAACTGAGCCCAGGTCCCCCTGCAAGAGCAGTAAACACTCTTAATATCTGAGCCGCCCATCTCTCCAGCCCCAGCAGTTAGTTTTCTTAAAGTAACCACTGTGTATCTGGAAATTTCTACACAAACTCTTCCCTTCGGCATTCTCAAAAGCACTGACTGACTGCCACAAAGTCACTACTATCAGAGCTGAGGGGACCAAGGAGGACACTCACTTGCAAATAAAAAGCAAAACCCTAATCAGGGATGTGGTCACAGCCCCGCAGTTGATTAGTAGCACATTCCCACATCACAGTTTCATTTTCTGGAAGTCAGTAAGAAACAGTACCTGTCAATATTGACTCTAGTCCGCTAATTTAGACTTGAGTTGCACATGCTAAGGTTTTTCTATACAGTCTCTGTCAGTCTGGGCAAGCTGGACCACCAACAGGGGCAAGCAGCAACTCAGGGGATTCTCCTGCACAAACGAGTGCCCTCAACATGCAGTCCTGCAGCCTACCAGGATAGGCACTAGGGGAACACTAATATAAGTCCCTGCCCTCAAAATCTAAATGGAAAAGAGGAAGTTGTCAGTGCACACACAAGGGGTGTGGGTAGGCAAAAGACTTAAGCTTAATTAACGCTTTGAGGTAGAGAAAAACAGGTCCGCCAAATGCTGCCTGGGTGTTCATGAAGAAAAGGTAAAATACTGGAGGTTGTAGGGTCAGTACGTGCCAAGGATAGGAGATAAGACAGCATGCTACATGGCCAGGCAACTACGGCCAGGACATGTGCTGGGAAGCCAGAAGGAGTTAGACAGAGGTGAGACTAAATACCCCAGGCCACAGGGTCTTAAGGAAGACCCATGTGTGGGACAAGAAATGACTCTGCTCTTCTAGCCAGCCACATGGGGTTTCCAGAAAAGGACTTCATCTTGGAGAAGAGAATGTGGGTCTCTGAACTGGTCTAGGAGGTACTTCCGGGCTCTTCCATGTAACTGTCACAAGGCTCAGTTTTCTCCTCCATTGCAATAGAAAGGACAGCAGAAGACACCACGCGTAATGCTATAAAGTGCTCTGAAGGCGTAAAGAATGTGTCTGGGGAGCGTCATTGGTCGTACACGACTCACCTTCCCTACACATTCTCCCTGGTTTGGTTTTGTTTGTTTTCAGTCAGGGTCTTGCACTGAAGCCCAAACGGGTCTGAAACTTTCTTTGTACCACAGGTTAACCTTGAGGTCCTGACGGTTTTCCTGCCCCAGCCTCCAGTGAGTGCTGGACTTACAGTGAGGGAGCACATGCAGCTTCCACACACTCTCACGACTACTGGTGTCCAAATGGAAGATACCTCACTGATGCTGCCTGCCAGCGCAGCCTCTGCCTCTGCCCATATAGATCTCCGTATCTTGGTGGGAGCAATCAATACGTGTAGAGGGAATAAGAACTAACGAAGACCACGTTCTCATAGGTTAAAGACTCACCTCTCATGCAACAAGGGCTCGCAGAGAAGCAAGCTGGCACAAGGGCTGGGCACTCACCTTATCATACATGTAAATCAGGTTTTCTGATCTGGCCAGGCCAAGAGCCACCTGTGTGGTCCTCCTGGCGTGGATGCTGTCCCTCATAGCTCCTGTGAGGAATGGGCAGAGAAGTTGCACCGACCAGGTGTCAGGCAGCAGCTGCAGGACCTGGGTGGCATCAAACTCCCTGGCGTGATGGTTCAGCAAGTCCACAGCAGCCACAGTCAGCGCATGGGCAGAGGGGCCCGCATGGAGGTACATGGCGAGCAGTGTGTGGAAAAGGCGCTGACGGCAGGCTGCGTCCTGACCCTCGGAGCCCCAGAGGCAGTAGTCCTCAGCTGCAGAGAAGTCCCCCATCTCGTGCACCAGGATATGCAGGGCCTTCTCGTGCTCGCCCAGCTTCCCGTGGAGGATGGCGCTTTCCATGGGCAGGCCAGCACCCTGGATCTTCTCTGTCAGACAAAATTGGCACTCAGTAACAGACTGGGCTGGCTGGCTGAGCTCACCTGCTTGTTCTACCTAGACATTGCTAAATACTGCCACCTAGATGGCTGATGGTTTCTCTAAGATTCTGAGTCACCAGGGGAAAATCCAAGGAGCCACCTCCATCAGCCTGGAGGATTTAAATGCAGCTGACTATAAGGTTATGGTATTTAGGGGGGAAATACTTTCAAATCACAGTTGGCTAAATCTGCAGATGCAGAACCCATGGATAAAATCCAAATATCCACTTTACTAAAAAAAAAAAAAAAAAAAAAAATCCATGTTCAACCCCTTTATTTCAACTGAAAGGAACATGGGTTCACGGTATTTTAAAAAAAATCCTAATTGTATTATCTGTATCCAACGAGTTTGCAGAACAGAAAGAAAAACGTTTTCTTTGCTCCCCCTGCAGTTAAGCTTCTAAAAAATGACACAGCCCAGGGGCAGTGCCAGTCTTGATCAAGGCTCTCTCAGTGGGCTGATGGGCTGAGTTTCATTACCGAGATCACTTTGCTCCCCTGTAAGCTGTGAAATAGGGGACGACAGAAGAGCTTTCCCTGCTGCAATGGGATATTCCCAGGACAACTGAGGGCCAAGGTTAATAGCAAATGATAGGCGCTGGTATCTGTAGCTTAGTCACTATGGGCTGCTCCTCAGGCCTGATGCCTGAGGTAGATATTACCAGCCTGGGGGTAAAGGACTGGCTGTATAGCCTGTGTCAAATGCAGCAGCAGCAGCAGCCAGACACCACAGCACACATGCATCACCACTCTCCTCAGAGTGAGAGTCAGGAAATAATTACTAAGAGCTGCCATACTTACGGCACAGACAAAGGTACTAAGTTAGGTGTGAGTTACACAGAGTCTATGCTCAGACTATGACATTTCCCTTCAGAGCTTGAGTACTGCAGATCTTGAGATTCCTTGGGGTCCAATACCCCAGGGATACTGAGTGGTGAAGGTACTGAAGTCATCAGAAGGACCTGAATCATGTGCTTTAAAAGCTCAGTCCAAAACTCATCAGGACAGCTGAGGAAAAGGAGCTCAAGCAAGCACCCTATGGGACCCAAATGTTGTGCTCTGGGACAATGGCTCCCTGCCCCAGCCCCAGAGTCTCTCACTGGGACACAATCTTATCCTCACCTTTCAACAAATGGACGCGGTAGGAGTCAGACTTCTGGAGCAGCCTCCGGAGTTTGGTCTGCGCCTCAGTGGCATCTACGTCCTTGCCGCCAGTGGCCACCCTCTGCCGCAGCACTTCCTCCAGGTAGAGGATGGCCAGGTGGGTGTGGTACTCTTCTTTCTGCAGAAGTCAGGGATGAGCCAGACACAGTGTTTACATGAGGGAGGCCATGGCAGGTTCTCAAACACAGTGGTCAGGACACGGTCAGAGCACTGGAAGACTCCCAGAAGCTCTAACACAGAGGGAGGGTTTGCAGTCACGTTGCTATAGTTGGAAGCTGAATTGCCCCCCAAAGTCCACTGTTAAAGGCCTGGCCTCCATGGGATGCTACTGGGCGCTGGGGGTGAAATGTGGAAAGATGGGAGCCAAGGGGATGGAGTAGGACCACAGCAGGGACAGTGGGACCTCAACAAATGCCCTGCCTTGCCCTCTTCTGCCAAGATTCTTCATCCAAAAGAATGGGACAACCCATTACAGACTGAAATCTCTAGAGCCGTGGGGCCAAAGAACCATCCACTCTTCAGAAGTTAATTGCCTGGGGTTAATCATAATGCTGGAAAGACGATTGACACTTGGCGGGGGAGCACATTTTCATTCTGGGAGGCAAAGGCTTTAGTACCCTATAGATGACGTAGCTTCCCCCATTTCCTGGAGGACACCAACAAAGAAAAGAGAAGTGAGGTGGCAATGAGACAGAGAAGAACACATCCAGCTCTAAGCCTCCAGGTCTCGTTCACGAAGGCTCACATCCCTCAGATATCAACAAACACAGACTGAGTGACCAGGGTTGTGGCCTGCTGGAAAAGTGACACTCAGGTTCCCTTTCCTAAGTTGTGAGAGACACCACAGCCAGAGACCTTAAGTCCAGGCTCTGAGCACTCACCTGCAGTCTCCTGTCGATAACAAGATGCTCCAGATATTTAACCAGGGCTTTAGGGTATTTCTTAAGGCAACTGATAATGTCATCTGGATTAAAACCAGTCTGCTGCTTCTCGTCCAAAGGTCTCTTGGTGAAAACTTGAACTCCAATCTGCAGAAAGAACAGCAATTCAGTTTTCTTCATCTTTCTTTTAGTCACTTAGCATTCGGGGGTTGGCCAAAATCATGCAGAATATGCTAATGTATTAAGCAGGTGTGGCTTTTCATACGCCACACTTAGCTCAAAACTATGGGAGAAAACAGTCTAGCAAGAAGTCCCTAGAAAGAGCAAACAAAGGACACAATGCAGACAGGAAAGAGGCTGGCATTTTGAAATAATCCCCACATGGCTGGGATTTCTTCTAGAATGGGTGGAAACTAGGGAATACAGCAGTCACTGGCAATAGGCTTTGACAGCCATGCAACAGACAATAGTTTATGAAGATTATCCTACATAGAGACTGTCCCTTGCAAACTTTAAGGAACAAAATCCAGTACAGTGCTCTTGTTTCTCTGAACACATTGTCTGGCTAGCAGATTATTTAATGCACTTGGCTAGTCCACCATCTGAGCCTGTGGTCCCTAAACAACTGTCAGGCTGCCTTCCTATGTCTGCCATGAGGAGCTCCCTGGGCCAATTCTGCCATCTAAGGAAATACTGAGGAAGCCATTACACATTGTTGGGTTCCCTTCTGCACTTACACGTGCAAGTACTATTGTATGCCTACAGGTTTGCATGCACACCCCCACACCCTGTGAACCACAAACACGAAAAACACAACAGAGCTACAAGTCTTCTGGATTTGTGTCTCAGCACTATTTGCCTACATGACCTTGAAAAGTCTGCTATTTGTTTGTTTGGTTTTTCTTTTTGTCTTCAGTCTTCTTTTTTTTTTTTTTGAGGTTTTTGTTTGTTTGTTTATATTGTCGTTTGTTTGTTTGTTTGTTTCCAAGACAGGCTTTCTCTGTGTAGCCCCAGCTGTCTGTCCTGGAACTCACTCTGTAGACCAGGCTGGCCTTGCACTCACAGAGATCTACAAGCCTCTGCCTCCTGAGTGCTGGGATTAAAGGTGTGCACCACCACCACCCAGAAAAAAAGGTCTGTTAACCCTATATGTGAGCCATCCCTCAAGAGATGACAGAGGTCAAGTGGTGGGCTACCATGTGGCACAGAATCTCGGTGAGTTTGGCTGATTGCCTGGTGAGTGAAAAAGACCTAAGCCTTTAAGTGACACTGTAGCAATGCCATTGGAACATGGTGTGTTCTGTAGGCATGCGTAGAGGGAAAGGAGGAATAGAATAAAAACTATACAAGGCGGGGCTGGTGAGCTGGCCCAGCAGGGAATTTACTTGCTGCCAAGCTTGAATATCTGAGTTCAATACTTGGGACATGCATGGTGGAAGGTGAGAACCTCAGCTGTCCTCTGACCATCATACACACAGTATGTACATATATGTCTATAAATACACATAAATTAAATAAATGTAATTTTTAAATGTTTCAGTATGCAAAGAATAAGGGCTCTGACCTGGCTCAGGAAGTAGGATGGACAGCAGAGGAGTCTGCTTAGTTCTGCCTTGAACCTGTCTATCTGACCTTGTCTCTACAAGGAGGGGAGGGGGGCAAGGGAATGGGTCTGTTAAGCTTGCTGCCTTTGTGGGGGTAAGCTGTGGAGTCTCATTGAGGTCTGTGTCCTTCTGTTCTGAGCATTGCTGCCTAGCTATCGAGCAGTGGTTTTCAACATGTGGGCCATGACCCCTTTGGGGTCACATATCAGATATTTACAGTATGATTCATAACAGCAATGAAATTATAGTCATAAAGTAGCAGCAAAATGTTATGGTTGGGGTCCCCACAACATGAAGAGCTGTAGCAAAGGGTCGCACCATTAGGAAGGGTGAGAACCCCTGCTCTACAGCCAAGAGCCAACAGTTGTTTTTTTCTCTATCGTCCTGTTCCAGCCTCCAAGATGAGCCAGGTCTTCGAGCCACTTCACACCTCCATGTCACAGCCTCTAAGAAGGGCGATGGAAACAGAAGAGGAAGATGTTCTTCCTGATGGGGCCCAGATTGGGGACTACTTGGAAAAGACCTGGCTGTGCAGGTCTTACACCCATCCCAGACAACAAAACGCAGACTTCTGTTCCGCAGCAGGGGAAGAGGAAACTGTAGAGTGTTTTTGGAACACCGGGAGCATGCGCAGGCTAGGCTCTTTGTATTTCTACCAGGGGCCTCTGCAGAAAGAGGGTTCTGCAGACCGCAGCAGCAGCAGCAGACTGTGGCAGTTGCTCATGCTCAAAGGGAGGGATTTAAAATGGCACACAGAAAATGGGGCTGCGGTGGGGATATGAATGTAGCTTCCCCACCCTGGCACCTAACTCTGCCCGCAGTTTAGGGCTTTGGCGTCATTCATCAGAAGAGAAAGCATTTCTGAGACACAAACCTCCTCACTTTTCTGCAGCAGCCAGTCAGCATGGGTCCACACCAGCTCTCGGTCTAAGCAGTAGGTAAGAAAATCAACGATGTATTCATACAGGTCTGAGCGTGTGGAATCCTGGATGTCCCCGTTCACGATCTTCACCCACAACTGAAAAGTAACAGAAACCAAAAAAAAATTTTAAATCTAGAATGTTAAATACCTTGTAGCACTATCTCAGAAAGTCCTTCTTTCCTTACTCTCTTAAGACTTTGGAAAACATAGCTGAAGCATCACTCACACGGGAGTCTAGAATCTGAACACGGGCCAGCATGTTGATAGTGCAGCCTGCATTTCAGGGCTGCAGACTGGGTGGCTGGCTGTGGCGGCTCTCTCTACCCATGTATTACTTCAAAATCGGAAAAACTCCGAAATCTAAAACAATTCTGGTCTTGACCATTTTGCCCCACCTATACTACAGAAAGCTGCAAATTCTTAGATCAGTTTTAATTTTTTTTTGAGAAATAAATCTAAAAACCCAAATGTGCTAAAATATAATTATTTTCCAATGTGAGATGATGCTAAAAGTGGAAAATTCCACACCATCAAAGTTGGTTTTGAGCACAGACTTATAAAAAGTATTGTATAAATTACTTTCGTGCTATTTGTGTAAGACACAGTGAAATTTAGCTTAGGATCAGGTCTTACATCCAAGACATTTCATTTTATACATGCAAATACTACAAAATCGAAAATAATCTGCAATTCAGAATAGTGGTGATCCCCCCAATTAAAACGGATTAGGATGCTTAATGTGTACTAGCTTTTTCAGTCCTGAGTTCACCACTTAAATAACTGAATCAAAGGTCCATTGAAAAATACTGACTTTTTTATGGCGCTTTTGCCACTTATGAATATTTACTCCATATTATTCAAGTATGCAAATCTCTCTCTATAGTGTGCTAACATCATCATAACACACGTGCAGTAATCTAAAGATGCTGCTACCATGTCTTAAAAATAAACGTTTTGTTTGTAATATCCAAATCTGTTCTTGGCCTTGAGGCATGTGATGATGGAGACTCATTGTCTTGTTCTCTTCTCTCTGCAATTATGTTATTGTGGTTTTAGCAAAGTAGCTGCAGACTAAACTCACGAATGCACGGCCAAAGCCAGGGAGCTGATGTTACACAAAAGTCTCCCGAGGAAACTAGCACCCAATGCAATCTGAGGCATCACAGGGCAGACGGGAGCACATCTCCCCAGGGTGTGAGAAGATCTCTGCAAAGATCAATGGGAAGCTGCAAGGTGAGAGCCAAGAGACAAGGCTAACAGATCAATGGCATTCAGCTGAGGCCCAACAGCCCTGCTGGCCTTCACATCGCAGCCCCGCCACAGAGCAGGAACTTCATCACTGTGGCTCTACACTGTGCTGTACGGGAAGCACCTGCCCAGTTCACTGGCAATGCAACGCCTGCTGTTATTACTACTGCAAACTACAAATGCAACTGTTACCTGCTGCCCTAATTTTCTAAGGTGATGTCATATGCCTGCTGGCTCAGCAAAAATATCACATTTTTAAAGCTCATTTCATGAAAGTCATGAAAAGCAATGGGTATTAGCAGTTAAAAGTCAGGGACAGAATGGGCAGGGGGAAGTTGGATATGGGTTACTAAAATACGGTTAGAGAAAAAAATCCTTAGTTATCTGTGCTCACTGGAGTGAATAAATCTCTAAAACAGACGAGCTCCAAGTTTCCCGGTGCAGAGACGGTAGCAGGGACACCAATGACCATGACTAGATCACCTTCCACTGTAAGCAGGAGTCAAGTGGGACACTGAATCCAAGAAATGTGTACAATACCATGTGACAATTTTCTAAATACACATTGATGTGTATGTACATGTCTGTGTGCAGATGCCACATGTGTGCAGCGCCCACAGAGGCCAGAAGAGGGGTCGATCCCTAGGATCTGGAGCTGTGACGTTGGGAGCCGCCCAATGCGGGTGCGGAAACAGACTCTGGAAGAGCAGCAGTTGCTCTTAGTCACCGAGCCATCTCTCCAGGGCCCCTTGTCACTGTTAAAAAGGAAATCAGCCTTTTTTTTCATTTCTTCAATTTTCCCAAACTCAAGCTTCAGAATATTCTTTACAGAGATTTAAAGACATCACTTCTTGGCCTGTTTGTCAGGAACAAGAATGGAGACTTGATGTCAACCCTTACTAAGGAGCTCACTTTTTTTTTTTTTTTTGGTTTTTCGAGACAGGGTTTCTCTGTGGCTTTGGAGCCTGTCCTGGAACTAGCTCTGTAGACCAGGCTGGTCTCGAACTCACAGAGATCCGCCTGCCTCTGCCTCCCGAGTGCTGGGATTAAAGGCATGCGGCACCATCGCCCAGCCCAGAAGCTCGCTTTTGAAAATGGTGTTATGTTTGCTCTCTGTGGAAAAGGTCAGATCAGACAAAAGTGGTTTCTACTGACTTAAAAAGTAATGCAAAATTAAAGGTTATTGGCCTTTTAACAACACTAAAATGCATTTTAAAAAATATATGGGGTGTGTGTGTGTGTGTAAATGTGAAAGTTCTGTGTGCCTCAGTACGCATGTGGAGGTCTGAGGATAACTTTCGAATGTTGGTTCTCCCGACACCATAGGTTCTAGGGCTGAGACTCAGGGTGTCAAGCCTTGAACGGCAGGTGCTCTTACCTGTCGAGTCACCTTGCTAGCCCACGAAGGCCTTTCTGGACTTACCTGAACTGCAGAGGCGTCCTGTTTATTGTAATGATAGAGCAGTCCTAGTGCAAAGTACCTGGGAAAGAGAAGGACGGGAAGGATAAGCGAGGGCAGGGCTCACGTCCTAGGACATGCACAGCTCATGCTCCGCCCACGGTCTTCTTCCCACTCAGCAGGTGACCCCTTAGAGCCACATCCCAAGACACTCAAGTGTCCGCTGGAACCTCTCTTTAAAATCTCTGGGAACGCAACATGACTTTTTATAGATACAACACCCCGAGTCACTACCACCAGGTGTCAGTGTGCACTCTGGATTTGAAACCCAACAGGCTGAGGAGCACTAATCTGAAACCTGAAATCTGAAACATGCCAAAACATGAAACTTTCAGGGCAAACTAGAGATCCAAAAGCTTAGGGTATTTGTGTGTACATGTGTGGTGCGCACGTGTGCTTGCATGTGTAACCCCAAATGTAGTTTGCATATGTTTGGGGGGCACATTCCTCTACAGAGGCCAACCCTTGCCTCGGTCATTTCCTCCATCACCCTCCACTCTATTTAGTGAAGTTGGCTCTCTCACTGAACCCATTGGTTTGTGTGGTCTAGGAGCCAGCAGGTCCCAGGTGGGCTGCCACATGCGCCGAGCTTTTGTGTGGCTGCTGGAGTCTAGGTTCCAGTCCTCATGCTTATAGAGCAAACGCTTTATCCACTGAGCCCTCTCTTTAGCCTGTTCAGGTCTTGACACAAAATAAGATCTTAGAGTTTCAGATTAGAAAACTGCTTAAGAATACAAAAAAAAATCTGAAAAACTCTGAATTTGGAAATTCTTCTGTCCAGGTATTCTGGTTAAGAGATGTGCAACCTACACCACCAGCCCATAACGTGTTCGCTGCAAGCTGTGGAAAGAGCTAACACTGCCAAGGATGCCCTCACCACCTCAGGCACCAAATGGGATCTGGTACGGTGGCCCCACGTCGTCAGGAGTCCTTTTTCATTTTAAATTCTAAACAAAAGTCATAGGAGATCTAGAGAGATGGCTAGGCTCTTAAGCAGAGGACCCAAGTTCAGTTCCCCGCAGCTATGCTGGGTAGCACACAGCATCTGTTAACTCTAGTTCCAAGGCGTTAACACCCTCTTTTGGCTTCTGTTGACACCTGCATGCACATGCACAAATCTACACAATAGATATTAAAAAGTGAAAATAATCTTTTTAAAAATCACATATAAAAACCCTAAGGAGCTACCAGTCCTAAGCAAGCTGGTCACTGGGCATTCACTGCCCATGGATTTAGGGCTGCCTACTAACCGTTAGGCATGATGAAAGCAGTTCAAACCATGATCAGTAAGATCCAGAAAGCTAAAGTTAAAGCTTTAGACCCTATCTAACCAACTAGATTCATGATTGCACTATTATTACCAAGCATGCAGCGTCTTCAAGGTGAGTCTGAGTCTGACAACAGGATGTTTTCAACTGCTGCATTTACCAACAAAGCTCACAGTAATTCACATTGGACTCGCCAACATGAACAAGCATAGGAGTGAATTCCTTCAAGGTCCCTTAGATCAAAAGAACGTTATCATCTGAGGACCATTTGATGACTGTTGTCACAATGACTTCTTAGTGGTTACTGCCTGGACCCTTGAGAACCCAAACACAAAGTTGGCTGAGTCAGTTTCAGAGTATCCCCTTGAGGGGGGCCACATGGAGTGCAAGAGGACTGGACAGGAAGCCTTAGCACATGGGGCTAAGAGCACTCACTTTTTGTGCTTCTCCAGCCAGGCAGCACTGTCCGTCAGCAGGCAGAAGTTCTCAGTGACCAAGAGGTCCAGCAGGCTGTCATGGTCGGCCTCTGCATATAGCTTGAGTAGGGCCGTGTCGATGTCTTCCTTGTAGCCATTTGCGACCTCTGTGCTGCGAACTTCATTCAGGTAGCTCATGAGGAAGCGCTTGCACTTGGCCATCTTCTCCTGGTCACCCTGGGTCAGTTGGTTCAGGTCTGCATACTCATGAAGAGGAGGGTGAGACCGGGTGAAGGAAGAGGAGGTGGGCAACAGGAAGGGGTAGAGAGAGATCAGCTCCCGGACATCCAGCTGGCTGCTTCTGCAATTACAGTGTCAAACTAAATGAAGCAAAAAGAGAGAGAGAGTACACATAGGCACACAAACAACACTGGAGGGCAGTGCCTGGAGGCACATGTTAATGGGGGCGAGTGTGACTGAGTGGCCGTGCTAATCTGTAGTGCCAATGAAACCGCGTCAAACATGGTTCCAAAAAGAGCAGAGGAGACAAGAGTGAGGAGCATAAACGGATGACCGGGGAGTGCAACATCAAGGTACCTGAGCTGGAAGGAAAACCCAATGAGCCCTGGGATTCCCTGAGTAAGAAAGAACCATCAAAAAACAATGTAACATAAATCTGAGCCAGGACAGGGTCCTTCAGAAACCAGCATCTTCCTGATACTAAACTCCAGACAGGTTGCTCAGTGGTTCTTAAATAAGGGATTTTATCCTAACGTGGTTTGTGCTACTGCTAATATCTAGCAGTTGGAATCCAGGGATGAGCGCCCTACAAAGTACCAGACAGCCCTGCCCCAACACACCTCCATCTGGCTGGACCAAAACTCCCCCGCCCCCCCCCCCCCCCCCCCCCCCCCCCCGCNCGACATCACATAGATGATGGAGGTACCCAGCAGAGGGGACACTGAGTAACAGTGCTGCCACCAAACACTTCAAATTACCTGAAGAGCTCTTTGGCTTCCAGGAACTGGAGCTGTGCAAACTGTATAAAGCCTGCCTGCTGCAGAACCCTCCTGTACATCACCTGTAAGGAAACATGGGTTAATTCTCTCCCGAGGACGCCTTACAACCATCACCACAGGGGTAGGCTGCACTTGTCAATCACAACCCAATTTACCTTCTTCTATAGAGACACGTTATTAGTTACAGAAAAAATAAAATGTACTGAATATATGTACTTATCCCTCAGTAGTGAAAAGGCACCGTTCCAGGGCCCCAAAGATACCAACATATGCTCAAGTCCCTTAGATAAAACAGCATTGTATCCCACAGACCTATGCATATCGTCCTACATGCTTTATGTCATGTCTAGCTTACCTGTAACACCTAGCAAGCTATAAATCCAATACAAACAGTTCTTACACTATGCAGTTTAGGGAATAATATCCAAGAAAACAGTCTGTAAGCCTTCATTAAAAATGCAAATCTTTCTTCTTGTGGTGCTTGAGGATGGAGCCCAGAGCCTCATGCATGCAGGGCAGTGCTCTACTGAGCAGAGGAACATACATACATGCATGCATACACATGCACACACACACAAACACACACACACACACCACACACTGAGACATAGTCACAGATTCGATTCCATGAACCTCTAACTACTGCTTCACCCTCTTCTCAATCCACTAGGCTTTTGTGACTGCTTTAGCCTCTGGTTGCTCAGGTGGAAATCAACAACCCCAGGCTTCTGAAAGTGACTTTGCAGAAGCATTTCTCATAGCATCCCTCTGACACAAGGCTGGTCAAACTTAAGTACTACACAGCCACATGAATCCTCTTAGCTGAAGCTGAGGAAGTGCTGTGTGCCTTATCTCTTGGAGATGCTCTGCTCACATTAATAACAGACTGCCTAAAGTTCTTGTAGTAAAACTGCCAGCTCATCTGGGCATGGAGCACTGCAACCCAACTTAACTCATCTGCAGAACTCTTCCATTCTTGTAACATCCAACAATAACAACACACACACTTGGTCTAGAGAGATGGCTCAGTGGTTAAGAGCACTAGCTGTTCTTCCAGAGGACCCAGGTGCAATTCCCAGAATACAAGACAGCTCACAACTGTCTGTGTGCATTCACCTTCATTATGTGATGCCTTGGGTGGGAGGTATGAGTTAGACACAGGCTCCACAGGGGCAGCCTGAGCATAGAAGATGTGTCCAGAGAAGAGGATGGGGTGCACTGCAGATACACACACACACACACACACACACACACACACACACGGACGGACGGAAAGAGAGAGAGAGAGAGAGAGNAGAGAGAGAGAGAGAGAGAGAGAGAGAGAGAGAGAGAGAGAGAGAGAGAGAGAGAGCGCGATGTTTGCATAGCTCAGGGAAAATAACATCCACACAACAAGGGAGTTGAATTCACAGCAATACAGGGAAAAGGCAGGGATCAGATGCAAAGGCACAGAACCCCCATGTGAGCAGGCTGGAGAGTGAGAGAACGCGTGTGATGTCATCAGGTATTGGCTATGCACCTTTGCTCTTAGTCAAAAAGGGCAGAGGAAAAAAAGTGAACTTCAGACACAGAGCACTGAAAACTTCCGTAAGAGCATGCTACATAATTTGAGCACAGTGCAAATGGTGTTTGAACAAGGACAGGACACCCCTTCAACAGCAGCTGTGACATAATGCTATGGCTGCACACTGCGCCTACAGCTCCTCTTCACTCTGCCACACCCCTGCCTGCCTGGGCTGTGTGGACACATGAGGTAGTGTGAGTGCCAGCAGTCAGAGCTTTGTGCCTTGGCCTTTGCTGCCCCCTGCTGAATAGCTCAGTGCCACTTCAGCAAGTTAGCAGCGGGGAGGAGACCCTCTGGGTGTTAACCACCTATACGACACACGCTCTTCTCATCCACTGGCAGAAGCTGCCCTGTGCTCTCTGAGGCAGCTCACATCCAAACGTGCCTTTTCTGCCACAGCAATCAATAATGGGTAAAACTGGCTTTAGTTTCTAAGGACTGTTAGGGACAGGTTCCATGCAGCACCATGGTTTGGGTGTGTGTGTGGAGCTTTGTTGTTGCTCTAGCGCAGCACTAGGGATGGAACCCAAAGCCTTACCCACACTAGGAAAGTGATGTCACCTTTTCTTTGAGACAAGGTTACCCTAAATTCCCAGACTGGCCTTGAACTCACTCTGTACCTCAGGCGAGCCTTGAACTTGAGGCCCCCTTACTTTAGGCTTCCAAGTAGCTAGTTTTACAGGTCTATGCCTCCAGGTGCAGCTCACAAGTTTTAGTACTCTCAAATATGTAGAGTGTCCTGAATGCAGGAATTTCAGGGAATGGGACTGACAGTGGCTGTATGTATACCAACGACATGCTAAGCTAACATTTCTTCAGTGCCCTGCGTGCTTTCTCCTGGCCAGATGCAGTGATCTGTGCCTGTGATTCCTGGACTCGGAAGGCTGAGATTGTCTAAGGAAATGGCTGGGCTCCTGCAGTGAGGGGTACTTCATCCATACAGTGGGCAAAGCACTGCCTACAGATGATAAAAGACAGACTGTTGGGGTGGGGCAGGAGGGCAGCCAACCTTTTGACACTGAGACATGATAATGTGTGGTCTACAAACACATGGATTGCATGTATCCTGGATGCATGGGCTCCACCTTCAAAAACAGTCTACATAGAGGACACACACGAAAATTGAGCCCCAATAAAGACAAACTCTAAAATCAGAGACAAATGGCCTGACCTCACTCAGTCAGTTTAGAAGGATTAGGTTCATAACCGCTATCAGGAGGAGACTGAAGAAGGGATTGATTTCAAATATAGTCTAGTGTATCAAGTGAGAAACTGACAAGCTGAGCTTCCCACGATTGGCTGTGCAATCTCAGGAGAGCTCCGCTGCTCTGTAACCTGCTTCCTTACCTATGGCAGGTGAGATGTGTGGTAAAAGGTGCACGGTGGGTACAAAAGCCCTGCACACGGTCTTGTGTAGACAGAGTCCAATGCATGCGGTTAAATCTGACTGCTTTCTAACTTGCGGCTTGCAGGCATGCATTCTTGTGACCAGTTAATTACCAACCTGAAATTTGTCTTTTGGAATGTTCCTCCGGGCTCCTTTTGCTAAAACCAAAGCCTCCTCCACTCTTCGGCTTGCTAACAGATCCTGTATTTGTTTTTCCAGAGGTAATGGAACCAAGATGTAAACTCCTTTACTTGTGGCAACAATCACTCTTCCTGAGGGAAGAGAAGAAAAACATTAACATATTTGGAAAGGGAAAAGCATTGCCTCCCACAATGCATTACTGCCTTCCTTACACTCGGCCCTTATCTGATCTGCTAATCACTCCCACCGGCTTTTCCAAACCATTCGAAACGAGATTATGGTGTGATGCCTCCCTTTTCTTCCACCCACACTGACAACTGTTGGGAAGGACAAACTTTAATGTCACATTGCTAAAGAAACAAATGTGCTCTTTATCCCTTTTCTATATGAAAGAGCCCATTGATTTAGATACCTGTGGGGAGACACATGATACAGAGTCCAATGGAGCTACAGACCTCCATCATGGAACACCACCAAAAACTCACTGAAGATCTTTTCCTTCCAAAGTTGGTATACATAAACTAAGATTGTAATGCAATATTTTGAACTATGAGATAATATGCCATGCTTCCTGTCCATCCATATAACTCCGAGTCTTTCTGTTTACTACTGATTTCCCTACCATCCTGCCAGCTCTCTTTGCCCATCACTGTAACCCTACAGGAAGTCTGTGGAAGATCAGGACTGCTGTCTAGGCTAGCTCGTTCCACTGGATTTCCAAACTAAACTCTGACCCTTCTCCTAACTCAGCAGTCCCTGTTCACTGGAAGTAATTAACCTATTTCCTGTACCCCAGCTAAAGTGGTTTCCTTGGTTTCTGGCTATCTGCTTGGAGGCACTCTTCCCAGAAGCCTCTCTGCTCCCATATAAGGCAGGCAACATTGGTCTGCTCTATGTCAGGAAGCCCCATGCAAGTCTGCACCACTCAATATTCAAAGTCCCACAACCGGAGCATACGGTCAGCCTCTGTATCTGCAGATTACACATCCACAGCTTCTGAGTCTGTAGGTTCAACCCACCAGGGGTAGAAAATATTTGGGAAAGTCTGTAGTTGAACATGGGTAGATTAGTTTTTTTCCTTATTTCCCAAACAATAACTGAAGTAACAACTGTTTACATTGCATTTGCATGGCTTTAAATCATCTAGAGATGATTCAAAGCCAATAGGAGTATGCATGTAAGTTCTAGACTAACGCCATGAAAGGACCAAAACATCCGCCTGTCTATGTGTGTACCAAGGGATGTTACTCCAACTCTCGAGTCAGTGCCTACTTGGACCTGACCCCAGTCGGGGTGGGGCTACACTTCTCACTAAGGTTATACCCCAGCATCTCAGATGCCAGGAAGGTAACATTTAGAGGATAAAAAGATCTTTAAATGGCAAGTACAAGGAATGAATCTAGATTAAAAATACTCAAAGCCATTCATTGGACATGAATATGGGCGGGCTAAGAGATGGTACTATGGAGGTTTGTGCTGAGGAAGGTCAGTGTCTTCCATTGACTTAAGAACAATGCTGCATGGGAGCCTAGCCAGTTTGGATGTTCACCTTCCTAGACCAGGATGGAGCGGGGAGGACTTTGGACTTTCCACAGGGCATGGAACCCTGACTGCCCTTCAGACTGGGCAGGGAGGGGGAGAGGAGTGGGGGGAGGGGGAGAGGAGAGGAAGGAGGGGGAGGGAAATGGGAGACTGGGAGGAGGCGGAAATTTTCTTTTTTTTTTCAATAAAAAATTATATTAAAAAAAAAAGAACAATGCTGCAAAACACAAAGAAGCTTCCAGTCTAGGTGAAGAGACTATGGTTATTCATTCAATCTCTCTGAACGTTTTAAAACGTTCAAAATGGAATGGAGGGAAAGTGAAACTGATGCACACGGCACTTCAGCCACTTGCCAACTGTGCCCAACCACATTGCTGCCCCACCCCCACCCCATATACACAGACATACCAGGATTCACTTGTGGGAGCTCTTGTTCAGATACTCCCTTTTCTCTGATAGACGGTTCTGCATATATCTGCTTGGCTGACTCCTATCTATCCTGACATTAATTATCACCCTCAGGAAGCCCTCCCTGATTTCTCCAGGAATCAGTTCTCTTTTTGTACTCCCCAGGGGGCCTATTCCATCTCCAGGCAAGTCTTAAACTGCTGTGGCTCTTTACTGAAATGCCTGCCATCCCCTTAACCTTTACTGTTCCTGAAGCACAGAAACTGCTTTGCAATGACTCTCTCCTTCTTCTTAAAGATTTATTTCTTGTGTGTGTGTGTGTGTGTGTGTGTGTGTGTGTGTGATGCACACATACAGGTGCACACATATAACTGTGAGCAGCCTGCTGTACTGAGAAACAATCCTCTGCAAGAGCAGTAAGTGCGCTTAACCGCAAGGCATTTCTCCAGCTGTTTGTGTATCTTCTCTCAGCATAAGGCCCAGCTCCTAGTGCGTCCCCAGTATCACTTATGGTAGAAAGACCACTAGGTTTGCAATGAAAATGCTGTTAAGGTTTCTACAACAGGTACCTTCAAAGTCCTGCAGGATGTGGCCTTCTTTAAAGGGCAGGGTCTGTTTCTGCTGCTGATCCAGCATGCTGTGAACGGTGATGAATTCGTCGTCGAGTGCTATGACATAGGGAAAGCAAACAGCCGCCCCAATCACATTCTCCGACCAGTGCACAGGGGCACGCTGGGAAATCCCGGCCACGGTGGCAAACATGCCTAGAAAAATAGAAAAGAGATGTCTTCAAATAACTATGAGGTATTCTTTGCTACAGAAACGACAGGGTGAGAAGTAACTCACTCACTACGGGCTTGCATTTCAAAAACAATAACAGAATATCCTCATGGGCAAAGAACCATGTATGACTTTATCACTGTGAAGAGAACTACCCTATTCAGAATGCCTATCATGTCTGCTTCTAATTACAAATGAGATCTTAAAATATTTCCATTGATCTCACGTATGCATGTGTAAGCGACATGTTCCCCACATGGAAAGAAAACCGCTCAGGAAGCGTGGCAAGCTTTCTTTCACGCCACCTAGTTTGCCTCTATGCGTCAAGCTCTTTTTTACACATTTGGTCCACATACCTACTGAGCACCTACTATGTGCCGCGCACTCTACTAAGAGTTCTTTCAGAAGCTGGCTGTGCGTTGGGGTGAGGTCTGAGCACTGATAGTTGGTTTTACCCCTTTATCACTGAGAATGTATATGCGCTATAAGAATACATATGCTATAATACAGAGAAATGGCTTTTTGTACTCAACATACTGTTATAAAGCCTTTGTCCTTAGAAGACTTGTGACAGTTTATCTATACTGTACATAAGGCACTGATATTAGGGATTACTGAGATGAATATTTTCACCGAGGTGTCAATCCATTTTAACTTTAGTTGTTTGCAAAGGAAGCAATCCAAGGGCATCTGTGATTAACAGGGGTGGGAGAGGAGGCAGGTTTAGGAGGGGCCAAGAGCCCCATTGTTTTGGGTCTCTGCTGAGGCAGCACATTCCAGCAGGAGCATGACAAAGCAGCTTACCTCAGGAAGCAAGAAGCAAACAAACAAAAGTGGGGGAGGGAAGAACCCAGACCTCTCAGTCCTTCTCAAGGTCCATCCACCCTAAGATTTCCTCCAGAGTCCACCTCCTAGAAAGTGCTTCTCAGCCTGCCGGCTGCAACCACTTTCACAGGGATATTTACATTACAATTCATAGCAGTAGTGAAATTATAGTCATCAAGTAGCAATAAAATAATTTTATGGTTGGGGGTCATGACAACATGAGGAACTGGATTAAGGGGTCACGGCGTTAGGAAGGTTGAGAACCACTGTCCTAGAGGCTCCCCCATTTCCACTGTCACCACAGAGACTAAATGTAACAGTCCTATGACGTTGTTTACTCTTTTTGTTCTTTAGGGGAGCCTGCCACCCAGCTCCCAAATGAATCACACAGAGCCTTATTCTTACTTAGAAATGTCTGGTCTTAGCTTGACTTGTTTCTTGCCAGCTTTCTTAACTTACGTTATCCCATCTACCTTTTGTCTCTGGGCTTTCCCGTTCTCTTACTTCTGTAAATCTTTCTCTTACTCCATGGATTGCTGTGTAGCTAGATGACTGGCCCCTGATGTCCCCCTCCTTCTCTGGTCACTTCTTCCCTCCTCCCATGTGTCACCCCCAGATTTCTCCTTCTAGTCTCTCTGCCTGACAGCCCCACCTATCCTTTCTCCTGCCTCGCTATTGGCTGTTCAGGCCTTTATTAGACCATCAGGTGTCCTAGTCAAGCAAAGAATCACAGCTTCACAGAGTTAAACAAATGTAGGATAAATAAAAGTAACACACCTTAACATAATATTCCCCAACAACCAAGACTCTAACACAGAGACCCTCTGGGTGACACACATCCTGATCCCAGCAAACAGTAATGCCCGTGTATACCAACAGCATCAGAAAACACTGAGGGAGTGAAGCACAGCTACGAACGAAGACCAAGCTGGGGTGTTCGTGCTATCATCGGAAGTCAGCCAAAGAGGCCAAAAGGGAGAGGGAGAAGTGACCAGCATAGCTGGTAATGGTGATGCCACCTCCACCAAGACATGAGCTAACTACAAACTGGCAAAGGGATGAGCATGAACGATCCCAGAGAGTCTGCAAAATTCTGGGTGAAGAAGCCATGCTCTGAGCTCGACGACAGGGAGCCTCTCGGCACTGCCGGTCAGGGTCACTGCACCTACCCACTCAAGGGAACCACACAGTGCATTGGTCCTGGCTAGTGTTTCTGACATAAAGAGAGCAGAAGCCAGATGCCGAGAACTACGGCTTCTGCAGTTTCACCAGAGTAAAGGAGCAGAGCCCTAAGTGGCAAATGAGAAGGTCAGTGAAGCCAGACAAGCACCCCTAGGAAGAGGGCACTAACTAGACTGCTGCTAAGTGCCCCAGCTAACTCTCTTCTGCCAAGCAGCCGATAAAGTCTGTTGCTTTTATACTACTATAGGAGCCCAAGCGTTGTTGGCATACCGCGTGAGAGATTTGGGAAGGGCACACCAACTTTAAAATCATTCATTTTGGTCATGCTCTTTCTAGGTTCAAGCCCACCTGTGATCTAAGCCCAAGCTGAAGAAGAGCCCACACAATATGAAGGGCAACTGAATTCTTTCCCTTGTCTAAGAAGTGCCATCAAGGGGGTATAGCTAAAGTATTATAAAAAATTTGGTAAACTTGCCTTACAAAAGGCCAAGTACGATCTCTTATGACATCAGTGGTCACAAGTTACATTCAGGGAAAAAGGCAGAAGAAAAAAATAAAAATTAGTATCATGCTGAGAGGTGGGTGCATTGATTATAATCTCGATAGTAATTTGTCTGAACTCTTAATTTCTGAAATCATGTAATGATGCTATTTGGAGAACTTATAGCTAGAGAAGGTGTATGTAACAGACCTTACAAATCTTTCTATGTGCTTACAACCACATTCATTACAAACAGAAAGACAACTAAGTAAGTTGGTTCATTTAGCGTAATGCTCATGTAGATGAGACATAAAAATTTGGGGGGAAATGCACCCAAAAGATGAGTATCCTTTCCCTTTAATCTAACACTATAACCAAGGAAGGAGCACAGGACTCTAACAGTTTCCCCGTGAAGCCTTCAGAACAAGAGCAGTTAGGGCTACACTAGAGGACAGGCAGAACACAATGGGAATTCCAGATACATGCCCAGGGCATGAGTAAGTTAGTGTCTACTAACGGCAGCCACCAAAATCAGTGACAAGACGGACTCTGCCAACAGTTTATGGGCATAGTGAACAGTCTTATAAAAAACATAGCAATTGAACCACTTCTTTACATGGTGAGACATGAGTCCATATAGGTAATATCAGAAAACACAGATGACTTTGTCTATAAACTCCAAAGACAGAGAAACCTCCTAAGTACAAATCAAAATCATAAAGTAATAACTTAAAAGGCTGAAACATTAGATTATATAGAACTTTGTAAAAAGAGATTTTGCAAGGCAAAAATTAGAAACAAATACCTACAAAGTAAGTGGAAGAAATGTTGGAATCTCAAATGTATAAAGAATACCAAACAAAAGAGAGGGTTTGGTGTAGGGGTGGGGTTCAATGACATGGGCTTGGCATGAATGAGGCCCTGAGTTCAGTCCCTAGCAGAATAAAAAATAATTAAAAATAGATGACAAAACAGGTAATCCCTATTAACCCAAGGAAGCAGAACAGACTCCTAAACATGAGAAATTCTCAATGTTGTTCATAGGGAAATGGCTATGCTGCCAAAGACACAAGTTTGGCAGTATATTCTGATGGCCAAGCCTGGGGGAAAGGCACTGCCATGTCACCAGGGAGAATATAAAGTAACCCTTACTAAAGGAGACATGGGAACACCCAGCTCAGCTCACATGCATGCATGCTCTCTCTCAGTGTAAATCTACTGAAGTAGGAAACAAAATAATGATAAACTAAAAGCAAATAAGCTACCTAAGGGAGGAGGCTAGATGTGGGCAGGACACAGGCTAGATCCGCTGTGGGGATCTCTATCCGGGAGTACTTGCAGGAGGACGGAGAGGAAACCTTTGTGTGGTGGAAAGACGACACTAAGGCACAGAAGAATGACCCTAACTGATCTTATGATGCAGTTATCCTAAAAGGTAGGATTCCCAGCACTGTCCACTGACAAGGCCTAGAGAAAGTGAACAAGAGCCCCCGCACCCAGACTGTGGTCTGTAAGTAGCAGGGCTCTGCGGAGGAGGGGCTTGACACCAGGTCTGGTGCAAGACTGTATGAAACATGGAAAGCTCTCGGATTTCTAGAGACACAGCAAAGTGGGTCAAGAATCAACCACGTAAGCTACAGCAAGCACCAATGGAACTACAGGTACCTAACGGGACCCATGCGTTTACAATTAGGATCATTTAAAACTATCCCTAGTTGATTGATGAAGGAACCTTAATGTCTCATCTTGATTTCATACACAGTGCCTGGGAGGTGCCAAGTGGGTAAAGAAGGGAAAGTTAGCTCCACAGAGGCATTCCCAGCGATATGTGAAGGGAAGACTAGACAGAAACACAATGCTGCCCATTGTCAGGCCTAATATGGCACAGGCCTAGGTCATCAGCAGCCATTACCATCGCAAGAGGGGAGAAAGCCATGCAAAGCCCCAAAGAAGTACCCACACTATGAAGTTTCTTGCTCCCTCCACAAAGCAAGCACACACACACACACACACACACACACAAATCTTAAATCTCCTAATTATCTATCTGCTTGCAGTCAACAAAGGTCTGAGGGGTCAGAGCAGCATGTTAAATGACTCTATGGGGATAAAACTATCACAATTCCGGAGTGTAGGAAACCATCCAACTTCTTCAGCAAAGGGAAAAGGGAAAGTTCAGGAAAAAATAAAGAGAAGGAGGGACTTGAAGAATAAAATTTAACAAACCTATCAGCCAATTACAGTGTTTGAGCCCTGGATGGTAGTGAGACAAGAAAACTGAAAACACAGCAACAAACCCAAACGACACAGACATTTTAAACACTTAAGCAGACGTATCTCTGTGTGTCTACTACATATGGTAAAACAGGAGGACTATAACGCGTCTAAATGTACTCATGATGTATTGAGTACTTAACATATATGGGTTTTCACATGTCTATAACTTTGAACCGCAGCAAAATATTTACAGAAGAAGTGCTATGATGTCCAGAGCTGCTTCAAAACAACAGCTAGGGAGAGGACAGGTAAACAAAGGGACTGACAGGGCTGAAAGCCAGAGAAAAGACCTGGTTTCTTTATGCCATGCTCATAGTCATATATATGTGCATGTGTGTTATATATTTATAGAATATATATTTATTTTTAATTAATTTATTTTAACAATATTTTAACATATCATATAATATGTAATTGTATATAAACACATATAATTGTATACATAACTGTGTATTTATATATGCAAAAATATATAATCTATAAATATAAAAATGAATGTATATTTAGTTAATATATAAATGATACAGAATAATTTACATAGCATATAAATTATATGTAAACACATATGGTTTATAGTAATATATAAATATGTATATACTCTTTCCATAATAATTTCTTTTTCTTTTTTCTTTTCTTTTTTTTTTAGGAGCAAAAGACATTGGGACCAAGCACTTTCTTCTTCTCTCAAGCCATGAATACACATGGAAGAGTCTTGAATACACAGTCAAGTAAAAGCCAGTCTGAAAGGCCACATGTCATATGATTCTAACTACACATTCCATGCCAACTATGAAGACAGTACAAGGTAAGTGGTTGCTAGGAGGCAGGGCAGGGATCAGGGGGACCAGGTCAAGCCCAGGGAGTTTAAGGCAGTGAAAGCATGCTGTTTGCTACCACAGGAGTGGTTGTAAGTCACTACACATCTGTGCAAACCTATCAAGTGTACATCACCAAGTATGAGCCCTAATGTGAATCTGAATTCTGGTTATTAATGAGGTGTTAATCGGGTTCAATGGCTGTATCTAAAATACCATTCTGGTGGGAAATGGTGACCCATCCTCCCATTTAAATCTGATGGAATTTCAGCACGCAGCAGTCATGCAGATCTGCTATGACCTGGCCACACATTTCCAGGAATGCCAGGCACTCATTAGTACAGTCATGTACCACATGCCATCTGGTCCTCAGTGAACTGCATGTGATTACTTTGCCACCTAGTGACACTGAAGCCATCTTAACTGACCAACAGATCCTCCGAAATGTACAATGACAAAATCACCTAATGATGTGTTTCTTAGAACTGTGTCAGTAAGTGACACACTTCGCTGTGGAACCTTCCCTCTCCCATCACAAGGTGTATCCAGAAACCCTAAGACAGCAGGCAGGATACAGGTGCCCTGATTGCAATACTGACTGCAGCCCCTCCTCACCCAGGCCTCCGGGGCCAGCCAGCAGGAACTCCTGTCTGCCTATCCTCTTGACAATGGGTGGCTTCTCCTCGCTGCAGTAGGGAAACAGGTCCTGGGAAAGGCCTGTGCTGTAGTTCAGGATGATGTACTGTGTGGTCAGGGCCAGGCACAAGAAGTAGCCATCCACAGCCACAGCAAGAGGCTGCTCTGGAGTGGACACCTCCTTGACAATCTGTACTCGGTCCTCGTACACCAGAAACATTTGGACGGTCCTTCGCTTCACGGAGATGATACACACTTCCACGCAGAAGGGGTCCCCGTTCACAGGGTTCTCGTTCACGGCAAATGTTATGGCCCCTTTGATGCGGGCCCCTGAGGGGACTGGCTCCAGGTTCAGCATGTTAACCAGGGTTATCGAGTTGTCACAGAGCACCAGCAGCCTATTGAGAGCTGAGGCCGCACACAACTCGTTCACGGGCTTCTTGAAGCCCAGGTGTCTGTGTAGCTGTTTGGTGGCAATGAACGAGGCCGTCCCTGTAGGCAAAGTCTTCTCCTCCAGCAGGAAGTGGTAGATGAAGCAGTCATTGGTGCCGACGTAGAGATTCCTGCCACAGCACTCCACACACTCAATGCTGATGTGTTCTCTGTCACCCGTCAGCAGCTCCCGCTCCACCGCAGAGACCAAGGTGAAGGCCTTGATGTTCATCATGTCTACTGGGTGATCTGTGGGAAGACGGATAAAAATTTTCATCTTGGAGGAAGAAAGAAGCATAAACAACGAGCTGCAATGAAGACACACTGACTCCCCATCCCCCATTTCATCAGAAGAGAGAACGAGTCCCCATAACTTGTCTCACTAGGAGGCTGGGGACCCCGAGAAAGAATACACACGTGTGCTTAGGATTACTTGCCCGTCTGCTCATTCCCAAGGGAGCTGCAAGCTCCACAGAATTTTCTCCATTGTTCTGGGAGACACACCGCAGATAGAACACCCACCCACACCTACTCACATCCGCAGACGACGTGAGGGATACACTTCTGGAAAACGCAGGCAGAGACCTCACCAAGCTTCCTTGATGTCTATGGTTACCTGCATGCGTGTTTAAGAGAATAGTCGGAGCTACGTTCTGAATCCCTTTGTGTTCTCTGGGAGCCTAGCCTGTCAGCTTCAGCTCCGCACTTGTCTCTAGGAATAAACACGCCCACACTGAGTAACAAAGATGAGCCTCCAGTCTCCCATCCTGCAGGTGGTGAGATGAGCTGTTCCTAGGCCTGGGAGTGGGTCACTGGACGGCAGTAACGCACAGCCTCATTGGAAGAAACACACCCTGGGCTTCCAAGGGTCTCTTCTGACACGACTCTGGTTTCACATTCCACAAAGTCAGAAGCAGAACAGCCTTCCTCGACTTCTCAGCTTCCAAGGACAACTCTTAACTCCTTTAAGGCAGGGATCCACAGGTTTAGACACAATAGGAGGCTGACAGAAGTGACAAGGATATCATCAGGTCAACACAAGAAAGCAGCCTCTATCACATTGAGCTTCTCAGAGATGGAACAGGATCACTTTATGAGACATTAATTCCAGCTCTCTGACACATTCCAAGGAAGGTAGGGAGACCTCAGAAATTAGCTACTTCAGAGAAAGGGAGGAATCTTGTAATGTCTCTGATGCTTTTCCCTCAAAGATTCTAGAGCAGTGCTTCTCACAACCTTCCTAATGCTGAGACCTTTAATACAGTTCCTCATGTTGTGGTAACCCCCAACCATACAACTATTTCCATTGCTACCTCACAACTATAATTTTGCTGTTATGAATCATAATGCAAATAATTTTTGGATATAGAGGGTTGTAATGGGGTCATAACTCACAGGTTGAGAGCCACTGCTCCAGAGTGTCACAATTTTGAGCACCCCTCCCCGACGGGGGCGATGGCAGGTATTTTGCACACCCCTCCCTGACGGGGGCGATGACAGGTGTTTTGCATCAGACTGTGACTCCCTTCTGAGCCCACATGCCCAAGAGGGAGGCCTGTCTGTGGGAACAGACAGCTCTTTGCAACCACCTCCATCACCTGAAGTGAAGCTGGAATGTCTCTCCCTATGTCGTGAGTTCAAACTTTAACTCCCTTGTAGTAGTAATGGGAGGAAAAATGGCTCTGAGATTGAGACTTGAGGGTAAGGACCCTAGGTAAGGGCTTAGTGCCCTTCACAGAGAGGGCGAAGAACTGTGTGTCCCTTCTGCCGTGTGATGACATGGCAAAAGGTGCCTCTATGAAGAGACCCTAACCAGACACTGACTGACAATCCTCCATCTTAACATTCTCCATAGGTGTGAGCAATAAAGCAGCATCTCTTACAGACCACCCAGGCCACAGCACTGTGTTGCAGCAGGACGAAGACTTCTCTAGGCTGCCACCTCTGTGAAATGAATGTAAAGCAGCCCCTACGTCACAAGGCTGAGGTGGAATAAACCTGCGCAGGTAGTGTTTACTATCAGGCACACAGCCCGCTGAAGCTGTTCGTTTCAGCATGAAGACTAAGTCCTTCCCTTCGTGGTGGTCTCAACTGCTCTCGGCCCCCTCCCCCCAGTCTGTTTTATTTCCCAACCTGGGCTCCAAGAAAGGAAACACTACCACACTCCCTTCAAGGTTGTGGCTATCTCAATGACTGCCCTCTACCAAAGGGCAGAGGAAAACAAACAAGAACCAGCAGGGGTAAGCTAGTGCACACCTGCCAACCAATGCAATCAGCGGGCCAGAGGTGAGCTACCAGTCCAAGGGCTGCGTAGTAGGACCCTGTCTCACAAGGAAACATAAAGCAAAGCAAGAGCAGGAGAGGGAGAGGGGGGGGGGGGGCACTGAGCCTACTTACTTCTGGCCCCCTGATGCGAGCCTGCAATCCCACCTACTAGGGAAGCTAAAGAGGGATGCTCACAGGTGAGGGCCTGTCTGTCTCTAGGCAACAGGACTTCTCAGAGTCCCTGGGACAGCTGGAAGAACAACCCATATAGACATCTACAAGTAATTTCTGGGACATCCAACTTTCTCTCTCTTTTTAAAAACAGCACCATCTATTTGTCAAGACCAAATAAAATTACCAGAACCCACCTAGACAACTTTTCCATTTAAATGCTAATGAGTCAACCACAGATACTGAAATGTAGCCTTGGAGACAACTAAGCCAGTAAAAACGGAAATAATACAAAAATACGTCTTCCTTCATTGGTTGATCAAGCAGGACTGCTGTTTAAAATGGCAGGATAAAGCGATTCTGCCACTTAAAATATGAATTGTTTCTCATGCTTTTGGGAAAGAATAGAGAAACAAGCTTTGGGCACCTACAATCACACTCCTCTTACTTAACTTCATAAAGCAGGTTATATGTAAGTTTAGTCTCCATCTTCCCTCAGCATAGAGATAAACTATCCACATTTGCAGTGAAGAGTGCCAAGCAAAGCCAAATACCTCCAGTTTAGTTGAGTGAAGGGGAACAGGGAAGGGGGAAGGAGCGGGAACAGCAAGGCAATTGTGTGTCTTATGAAAAAGCTGTAATTTTATGATACTTCAAAACAAATGCAAATGCAGTACGGTTTCATCGTCTGCCAGCTCAAGTCTTGCTGATGGGAAATTTCCTACTAGAGGTCTTTAAAATTAAAAAAAAAAAAAAAAAAGAGGCTGCACAGGTGGCTCAGTGGTTAAGAGCATTGGCTGCTCTTCCAGGGTACCTGGGTTCAATTCCCAGCACACCCATGATGGCTTACAGCTATCTACAGCTCCGGTCCCAGGGAAATCTGATGCCCTCATCTGGTCTTCCTAGGCATCAAGCATCACATGGTACACAGACATACCTGCAGGCAAAATACTCATATACAAAGGAATACCAATATGACTTTAAATTAGAAGCCCACTCTTTTCTTTCCATGTTGCTGTCTGAATCCCCAGCCCTCTCCTTCCACTCCTAAGCAATGCAATTATTAGGCATGTTTCACCACACCTACTAAGAGCCTGCTCCTGTAGTTAAGCAATAATGTATCAAAAGCAAAACCGGATGGAGGCAAGTGAAAGATGAACATGTAACTTAAAAATGGCTTACTCGCCTGGCGATGGTGGCGCACGCCTTTAATCCCAGCACTCGGGAGGCAGAGGCAGGTGGATCTCTGTGAGTTTGAGACCAGCCTGGTCTACAGAGCTAGTTCCAGGACAGGCTCCAAAGCGAGAAACCCTGTCTCGAAAAAGACCAAAAAAAAAAAAAAAAAGGTTTACTCTTTTTTTTTTTTTTTAAGTTTTCAAGATAAGGTTTCTCTGTGTAGCCCTGGCTGTCCTGGAACTCCCTCTGTAAACCAGGCTGGCCTCGAACTCACAGAGATCCACCTGCCTCTGCCTCCGGAGTGCTGGGGTTCAAGGCACGCACCCCATCACCCAGCTAAAAATGGTTTATTCTTATAAGCAGTAGCAGCATTCTTCCCATGATTAGTTCGAATGACATATTTATGTAGCTGAAATAAGAATTATAAAAAGATAAACATTAGGCCACACATCTGTGTTATTATTAAGTTCAACTTGCAGCAAGTTCCTCTTAGTGTGGAAATAAAATAAAAAGTTCTAAGACGGTGCCTAGCTTCCCACGGGCCTCACAACCTCAGGAAGGAAATCAGACTAAAATTATAGGGGAATAATGGATAAATTTGCCTAAAGGCCAAATTAATAGTCTTCATAGTTTGCTTTTCACATCACTCTTTTTTACTAGTGCTTCAAGAATTTCATACAATGTGTTCTCTACCCACTGACTTGACTTTGTGTCCTTATTTTTTATTTATTCATTGACTGATCGATTGATTTTTACCCAGCAAGTCTAATTTGCGCTGCCCATAAATTCTGGGATGTGTTGCCTTCCAGGGCACTGTGGACTACCTACCACTGTAGAAACTTACACACACACACACACACACACGCACACACACACACACACACACGCACATACACACAAATACACATACACACACAATGGAACTACCATATAAAAAGCAACATGCTGCTACTAGACACCACAGGCTAACATATTAAATAAACAAACAAATAAATAGAAAGCTCGGTGCTGGGAATGGGTTTCTACTTTTGGAGTTGTTGGCTGGTGAGATCTCACAGATACCAAATATGACAGGCTTTTGCCAAGGCTCTTGATTAGCCCAAGGGCAGAACAAGACAGTAAGACTATATTATGGAAGACACCACATACTTGAGTCACAGAACATGAAGATACCTTGTCGGTATTGACCTGGAAGCTTCATTCCTACTGGCTGGCTTTCACAGTGCTGGAAAGTATTATACAAAGTAACAATCTTAATCATAGTTTTGTTCTCTACCAATTTGAGATTATGCACTCTGTCCTTTGAAAGATACTGCCACCAATGATCTGAATGTGTCTTTGAAGATGCCAGTGTAGGACCATCAGGATGACTCACTGGCTAAAGATGCTTGTCAAGCCCAGGGGAGAAAATCAGCTCCCACAAGCTGTCCTCTGATCCCTACATGCATACAGTGACAGTATGTTTTTGTATGCAAAAATAAAACTTTTAAAAATATTAATTTATTTCTGCTAACACAAAAGCAGTATTGTTTAGTTAGCATCTGTAGGTGCTGCTGTAAGAACTGGCTTTTTTGGCTGTCTTTCTTTAGGCTTTTAGGTCTCCTAAACCCAAGCTCCAGAATGGAGAATTCATTCTT